CCCCCCCCCCCGGAAATTGGAAAGTCTACGCCCCTGCTGGAGACCAAGAAGATGTGTACCAACATAGCTAACAGGTACAGGTTTTTTTGCTCATGAAATAAATGCTTCTCTGCCATTCAGGCCACTTCCAGTTTGCTTTCACTTCAAAAACACAGTGTTCATGTTGGTTTTGACGCTGAACTGCAGGCTGTGGAAGGTCAGTAGTTCAGTTTTTCTGGATCAGGAAAGTAGCAGCACCTGGGACTGAAAGCACTAACCCCATTTAGAATATTGCAGTTCTCTGTAGATCTTCTCTTAAATTCAGTAACAGGAAGAAACACCTTAATTTTAAAAGAATGGCCATTTTCGGGATACATGCTTTCTGCTGTGTTTAATTCAGTAACATAGCTTTGGAATATAGCTTTAGAATTTTGGAGGGTTACAGCATATTCTCTTTTCTTTAATTTGCATTTCGATTGAATTTTCTTCTGCAAACATAAGAACATAAGATGCAGGTGATCTCTAGAGATTCAGACAGAGACAGATCCTTTCCAACACCTGTTTTCTTAGACCTTCTCGGTTTAAACCTTTATCCTCTGGCACACAAAGCATGATTTCTCTACCATCAGTCCATCAGTGTCATCATTGTCTACTCAGACTGGCAGTGGTTCTCCAGGGTTTTATATAGAGGATTTTGCCCATGCCATGCTTTGTTTCTGAGCCGTTGGGCCTGGCTAGGGGGGTTCTCAAGGGTTTCCAGGTCCCCCTAAATTTCCGGAGAACCCCTTCCTAAATCCCACATGGCTCCGCCTCCATAAATAGTGACAATGGCCTGTGACGTCACTGGCTCATCCCTATGATGTCACTGGGCCTTGGTTCTTTTAAGGACCTAGCACAGCAGTGCCTCTGGCCCAGCCCCAGCCCCCCCCCCCCCGGAAATTGGAAAGTCTACGCCCCTGCTGGAGACCAAGAAGATGTGTACCAACATAGCTAACAGGTACAGGTTTTTTTGCTCATGAAATAAATGCTTCTCTGCCATTCAGGCCACTTCCAGTTTGCTTTCACTTCAAAAACACAGTGTTCATGTTGGTTTTGACGCTGAACTGCAGGCTGTGGAAGGTCAGTAGTTCAGTTTTTCTGGATCAGGAAAGTAGCAGCACCTGGGACTGAAAGCACTAACCCCATTTAGAATATTGCAGTTCTCTGTAGATCTTCTCTTAAATTCAGTAACAGGAAGAAACACCTTAATTTTAAAAGAATGGCCATTTTCGGGATACATGCTTTCTGCTGTGTTTAATTCAGTAACATAGCTTTGGAATATAGCTTTAGAATTTTGGAGGGTTACAGCATATTCTCTTTTCTTTAATTTGCATTTCGATTGAATTTTCTTCTGCAAACATAAGAACATAAGATGCAGGTGATCTCTAGAGATTCAGACAGAGACAGATCCTTTCCAACACCTGTTTTCTTAGACCTTCTCGGTTTAAACCTTTATCCTCTGGCACACCAAGCATGATTTCTCTACCATCAGTCCATCAGTGTCATCATTGTCTACTCAGACTGGCAGTGGTTCTCCAGGGTTTTATGTAGATGATTTTGCCCATGCCGTGCTTTGTTTCTGAGCCGTTGGGCCTGGCTAGGGGGGTTCTCAAGGGTTTCCAGGTCCCCCTTAATTTCTGGAGAACCCCTTCCTAAATCCCACATGGCTCCGCCTCCATAAATAGTGACAATGGCCTATGACATCACTGGCTCATCCCTATGATGTCACTGGGCCTTGGTTCTTTTAAGGACCTAGCACAGCAATGCCTCTGGCCCAGCCCCAGCCCCCCCCGGGGAAATGGGAAAGTCTACGCCCTTGATCAGATGAACACCTAGACCAGCATTCTTAGCAAGAATCCTAGTAACAAGTAACCTATTGAGTAGAATATGAGAAACTGGCCAGTGGTTCACTAGTGGATTGTGATCTACCTCTTGCCTTCCTGTCCCATTGCATTTGGCCCTGTGAAACATTCTCACTTCAATCAGGTTGTCTTGGTACTCTAAGAGGGTACCTTGGCAAGTCACACTCTTTGAACCTGTTTTCCATTAATAAAATGGGCAGATGATTATAATATATCATCTGTGCACGGTACTTGTTGTATGTTGGTTTTCCTACTTACCGTGGGTCCTTGTTTGGTTTTGTGAATTAATAAAATGGGAGCAACAGCTGGCCTTTGACAGAAAACACACTATAGAACCACATAATATCCTCAAGTATACAATTTCATAATTTAAAAACACTAATTTTATTGTTTTTTTTTATTTTTTTTTACCAGCAATCTATTTTACAGGACTGTTGTAAGCAACAATGAAGACCACAAAGCACTTGTCCAGAAGAATAATATACACTACAGTAATAATATATATTGTGATCTATTATAGACCATGCCCGGTAGGGTACCAACAAAATCGTCCCCAGACCTCTTTTTTGAAGGGGAGTTTATTTTAACAAGGAGCTGAGGAAGGGGTTTGTGACAGCTGGTTTACTGATTCAATATCTGTCAAGTCATTTTACAACAGTATTATGCTGCGGGGATCTTCCCTTCTGAAGACCAAGACCAACACGCCTGTCTGCACAATATTTTTGCCAACGATCAATAACAGTTTTTGCTTCCATGGCTCCCCCCAGCCCCCCAACAGCGTGGAAAGCCTGGGTGCTTCGCATCTGCTAGCATGGGCTTCCCAGAAACTCATCCAGATGTTCGCGCGGAAACCCGTGAGAGCCGACGCAAGAGGGGGTGGGGCGGTTCCTCCGCCCTCCACACCTCCGGTCACCGCCGTAGCTTGAGTGGCAGCTGTCTATGGGCGCGGGCGCCTGCGCTCCCGCCCTCCTTCCTTCGCCGAGCCTCCCTGCTCGGGTCGCCGCGGCTCTGACTCACGGTTCCCGGCAGACGCTCTCGGCTGGGCAGCGGGCAGACATGGCGGCGCCCTGCGAGGAGTTAGCGGCTTCCGGCTCTGTGCAAACGCCCGGCTGGCCGTGAAGAGGACTGTCTGCAAGGGGCCTCCGCGACTTAACATTATTGTCGCTAGTATTAGGGCCACCGCGCTTCCCCCCACTCCTGCAGCCGGTCTGATCTCCGCGTCTCCTTCTCAGGTAAGCGGGGCGAGGGGGGGCGGCGTGTGCAGGGGCTAGCGAGCCGGAGTAGGGTGTCTACTTCTTGTTCTCCCTTCACAGGGTGCGGATGAGCAGAACAAACAAAAGGGACACTGTCCCCCCCCCCCTCTGTACCAGCTGTGTTCTATATCCAGCTGTGTTCTAGAACCGATCCTGAAAGGACTAGTCTAGAAAAAGAGGTCCGACACTCTTCCCTCGGTGCGGCGTTGCAGCAGAGTGGCCCTGGCACGTCCCCCTCGCAGTGCTGCGTCAGGGCCAAGGCGAGATGGCTCATCGTTCCCAGACTATGAGCTCATCCTTGTGCTCCCTGGAAATTAGTCCCGAAGCTTTATATCCGCTACCATTAATGCAGGTTGGAAATCCTCGTATTGCTCTAGTCTTGACAATGCATGGGAAGAGTGGGGCAAAAAGTCGTCTCTAGCCGATTTTAATCGGATCATAATGAATTCATATAATTTTTTATACTGCAACAAAATGCTCTATTGCTCTAGTCTTGACAATGCATGGGAAGAGTGGGGCAAAAAGTCGTCTCTAGCCGATTCTAATCGGATCGTAATGAATTCGTATAATTTTTTATACTGCAACAAAATAAAACGATCATGTTAGAGAGCATATCTTGGTCTAAAGGCAGCACAGTGTGCTTCGTGGTGCCCCCGTTGTGCAAAAACATGGATCCAAAGCACCCGTGTGATTTTGAATAGGGTCGCCAACCTCTAGGTGGTGGTTGGGAAGCTCCCAGAATTCTGATTGAGCTCCAGGCTATAGAGATTAGTTCCCCTGGAGAAAATGGCTGTTTGTGGAGGCAGATATATGGCATTCTGCTCTGCTGAGGTCCCTCCCCTTCCCAGACTGCACTCTCCAGGTTCCAGCCCAAAGATCCTCAGGAATCTTGCAACCTGGAGCTAGCATCCCTACACCCCAAACTCACCATCGAATCACTCACGGCATCTGTGGCCACAAATTACATCACAGAAATCATGGATCCAGTGCTTCATGGCATCGCTGTTCGGGTTGCTAGATGGTTTCAGCATTAATACTGGACACACAATAAAAATTTGTGATGCTATACACACGCACACAAAACCAGGGGACCCACAAGGACCTGCAGGGGGTATCTCATTTTCTCCCTTCCTGCCCTGTTTTCTCATCCCCTTTCCTAAAAGTCCCCGTAGCCTCCCCTTCTCTCCTTATCAAAGTAGCAGTTATCTTATAAAGGAATTTCAAAGAGAGATTAGAGAGACTGCTGAATTGCAACTGATAACGAAGCTCAAGACAATGCACCCACCTGGACTGAATCAAGACCTAGGTGTTCTGTCTCAATACCAATGCTGATTTATCCACACCTACTACTTCTCTGCAAATCACATCTAATCACACTTGCTGTTATCATTTGCCTGTAATGTAATTTGTCATCTGAAATCACCCCCCTTTCCAGTATATAGGACAGATAGACTCACATTATAGCTGTATCTGATGTGGGGAGGTGCTCCATGTTTTCTACAGAGAAAACAGATGCAAAGTCAACCTTAGATGAGACAGATGACGTAGATCCTTTTAATATGCATTCAGGCACAGGTTTCAGATAGAAATAGGCTTTGTTGCCCTGACTAATGATCTTCTTTGGGCAGGGGTCATTTTGTAGAAAAAGAGCTAGGGTAACTCATTAGCATAACTCATTAGCATATGCCACACTAGGGGCCCGGCGGTGGACCTGCAAGGCCAGCAGGAGTGCGAGGAAGCCCCGCCAAGGCCCTCCCTGGCCCCAGGCAGGCAGGGGTGGGGAGAGGCGGGGAGGAAGCAACTTAACCTCCCTCTTCTCCTGCCTCCTCCTGGCTGAATGAGGGCTGGAAGCGGGGCAGCTGGAAGCAGGGGGCGGGGCTTCGTCATCTGCCCCGCCCCCTGCACCTCACCCAGGGGAACTGCGTTCCCCCGCGTTCCCCCCCGAAATGACCTCTGTCTTTGGGAGAGTCACAGGAGGAGTATCTCTCTATTGATTCTCATGGACTTCTTATTATATTCCACTGAGGTCCCATCCCTCCCCTCCCCAAATCCTGCCTTCCTAGGCTCCACCTCCAAATCTCCAGGAATTTGAGAGCCAGTTGTGGTGTAGTAGTTAAGAGCCACGGACTCTAATCTGGAGAACCAGGTTGGATTCCCCACTTCTCCATGTGAAGCCTGCTGAGTGACCTTGGATCAGTCACAGTTCTCTCAGAGCTCTCTCATCCCTACCCACCTCACAGGGGGTCTGTTGTGGGGAGAGGAAGGGAAGGTTATTGTAAACCGCTCTGGGACTCCTTTTGGTAGTGAAGGGTGAGATATAAAACCAAATCTCCTCCTCCTCCTCTTTTGATAGCATCAGCCAAGATAGTCTTATGGAGAGACTGGACAGGTTGGGAATAGGGGCCACTGTGTTTTGTTGGTTTAGCTCTTACTTTATTAGTTGATCTCAAAAGGTGGTGCTGAAGGATTGCTGCTCGACCTTGTGGAATTTATGTTATGGGGATCCATCTTGGCCCCATGCTGTTTAACAGCAGCACGAAGCTGAGACATCATATAGGGGTTTGAAGAAAGGTGGTTTTTGGTGACCCCACTTCATGCCTTGGATCCATGTTTTTTGTGCTATGGCGATGTCACAAAGCAGTGGATCTGTGACTTTTATTGGTGATGGTTTTATTTTTTTCCAGTATAAAAATTGTATGAATTAATGAGATCCTGTAAGGGAAGATCTTGTCTCACTAACCTTTTAGAGTTCTTTGAAAGGGTGAACAAACATGTGGACAAGGATAACCCAGTAGGTATTGTTTACCAAGACTTCCACAAAGCTGTTGATAAAGTTCCTGATCAAAGACTCCTAAGTAAACTCAGCAGTCATGGGATAAGACGACAAATCCTCTTGTGGATTAAAAGCTGGTTAATTAACAGGAAACAGAAAGTGGGTATAAATGGGCAGTTTTCACAGTTGAGGGTGGTAAACAGTGGGGTACCGCAAGCCTTGGTACTAGGTCCAGTGCTTTTTAACTTGTTCGTTAATGATTTGGAGTTGGGAGTGAACAGTGAAGTTGGCTAAGTTTGCGGATGACACTAAGTTGTTCAGGGTAGTGAGAACCAGGTGCTCCAGAGGGTTCTGTCAAGGCTGGGTGAGTGGGTGTTAACATAGCAAATGAGGTACAATGTGGGCAGAGGTCATTTCGGGGGGGGGATCACGGGGGAACGTAGTCCCCCCGGGTGAGGTGCGGGGGGGCAGGGCACAAGATGAAGCCCCGCCCCCTGCTTCCGGCCGCACCGCTTCCAGCCCTCATTCAGCCAGGAGGAGGCAGGAGAAGAGGGAGGGTAAGTTGCTTCCTCACCGCCTCTCCCCACCCCTGCCTGCCTGGAGCCAGGGAGGGCCTTGGTGGGGCTTACTAGCACTCCCGCCAGCCTTTCAGGTCCACCGCCGGGCCCCTGATGTCAGGGTGTGTGGCATATGCTAATGAGTTATGCTAATGAGTTCCCCTAGCTCTTTTTCTACGAAACGACTCCTGAATGTGGGCAAGTGCAAAGTAATGCACATTGGAGCAAAAACTCCTAACTAAATATACATCAATGGGGACCAAACTGGTGGTAACTAACCAGGAGAAAATTCTTGGAGTCATGGTAGATAACATCACTGAAGATGTCAACTCCATGTGCGACTGCAATAAAAAAATGCAAATGCTATGCTGGGGATCATTAGGAAGGGGACTGAAAACAAATCAGCCAGTGTCATAATGGCCCTGTATAAATCTATGGTGCGGCCTCATTTGGAATACTATGTATAGTTCTGGTCACCACACCTCAAAAAAGGTATTAGAGCATTGGAAAAGGTGTAGAAAAGGGCAACTAAAATGATTAATGTGATGGAACACTTTCCCTAAAGAGGTTAAGGCTCTTTAGCTTGAAGAAACCGACCATTGAGGGGTGACATGATAGAGGTTTACACAATTATGCATGGGATAGAGAAGGTAGAGAAAGAAGTACTTTTCTCCCTTTCTCACAATACAAGAACTTGTGAGCACTCAATGAAATTAATGAGCAGAAAGCTTAGAACAGAAAAGGAAGTACTTTTTCTCCCAAAGAGTAATGAACATGTAGAATTCACTGCCGCAGGAAGTGGTGGCAGCTACAGGTGTAGACAGCTTCAAGAGGGGATTGGACAAACATATGGAGCAGGGGCCCACTGGGTATTAGCCACAAAGTATAGCTGGAACACTATGTCTGGGGCAGTAATGTTCTGTATTCTTGGTACTTGGGGGGCAATACTGGGAGGCTTCTGGAGTTCTGGCCCTCCTGGTGGACCTCCTGATGGCACCTGGGTTTTGGCTAATGTGAGGCACAGAGTGTTGGACTAGATGGGCCATTGGCTTGATCCAACATGGCTTCTGTTATGTTCTTAAGAAGCTGTCTCTTATCTCTTGGGTTCTTCTGTACACAAGACATGAAGGATTAAGTCTCCATTTTGATCACCTGTTCAGGGACAATGGGGAGAAGTCCCAACTCTGAAACCAAGTTAATGAAGGCTTTTAATGCTGCAAATTCAAGAATTATTAGCCTGTCTTAGGCTGCGGTCACACGCAACATTAGCCACGCAAGAGATACGGAAGACAAGCGGAGTTTCCGGTCGCGATCTCACCAGCACATCTGGGAAGCGTAGCGCTTCCGTGGCACAACTGAGGCTTCCTGCCGAAAAAGCGCAGCAAAAAACTAGTTGGAGGTACTAGTTTCCAGAAACTGCGGGGCAAGGGCGGGCATCTGATCGCGTTTCCGGTGGTATCCGGCGCCCGCCCATGTCCCCTTGCGGAAAAGGGTTTTTTTCCCCCCACGTCTCCGTGGATGTGCACACGCACCCAATGGAGCATGTGCATTCGTAGTGTACATAAAAAAAGAAAACCAGTTCGCCGTGCCGCGCGCTTCTTCATTGCGCGCAGGCGTATGTTGTGATCGGCACCTCTCCCTTGCCATGGAACCTCTACAGTACCTCCACAGAACCTCCACAGTAGGTCTGATCGCTTTACTGCATGTTAGTTTGCCCCGGGGCAAACAGCCACACTTCTCCTCTGCAGTTTCCTGCCCGTGTGACAGGGGCCAAAATTAAACAACATCATTTAGGATAAGTATAGAGTTTAGTGTTTAGAGGATTGTGTGTTTTCACCTTTTCTTTATATCTATACTCAGCCTCATGTTTTAACAAACCCTGTATACTTTGTTAAACTTTCTCAGAGACTGATCTCTGTAAACACACCTTGCCTATTTGATTTTGCTTTCCAAAGAGTGGTAAATGGGATGGGCAGAGGGTAAGCGCACCATTCCTTGAGCACAATAGCTCAAAAGTGTGATCGGTTTGGAAAAAAAGAAAAGTGTGATCGGTCATTCCTGTGTTAGCTAGTATGAGCAGAGCGGGATATGCAGCCTTTTAAAGCAGTAGTGCATTACATGTTGGTGAAAGTTGGAGTGTATTTAACTTTATTATACCAAATATAAGCGTACCATCCCATTGTCAGATCGTGTCCTTCTAGATTTAAAGTTCTCCTATCTTCTAATTTTACCCAAATCTTGATCCAAATTAAAGTTGCAGCTTGGTATTACAATTCCCAGTTGGGTAATCCCACACCTCCTTTTTCTTTTTTCTCTTGTAAGTATATCCACTTAATTCTTGGCTTTTTTGGGTACCATATAAATTGCCTTACAGTTTTATCCAGTTCTTTGAAGAATGTCTTCTTTTTAAATATTGGTATGTTTTGGGCAAGGAATAAAAAACGTGGTAATATATTCATTTTTATGGTGGCTATTCTTCCTAGTAACGATAGTTGTATATCTTTCCATTTTAAGAGATCTTTTTTAATTTCTTCCAATAATTTTTTATAATTATTTTCCATTAGTCCACTGTTCCTGTTAGTCATCTGGATGCCTAAGTAGACCACCTTATTAGTAATTTCTAGATTTGTAATCTTAGACAACTTATCTTTTTCTTCTTGCGTGCAGTTTTTCGTCATGATATTTGTTTTTTTATTATTCAGTTTGAATCCCGCTACTTCCCCATATTCTTGTATTATATTCAGTAAGGGTACTATTGAAGTTTCTGGCTGTTCCAATATGAAGACAAGATCGTCCGCAAAAGCTTGCAATTTAAATTCTTCGTTTTTAACTTTCAGACCTTTTATTTGTTTATTTTCCCTTACCAGATCATTTAGAGTTTCTAACACAAATATAAATAGCAGTGGGGACAGTGGGCATCCCTGTCTAGTTCCCTTCTGTATTTCTATAATTCCTGTCAGATCTCTATTGATTACAATTTTAGCTTGTTGCTTTTTATATATTGCCAAAATCATTGTTAAGAAGTCATTGCCACAGTCCCATGCTCTTAATTTCTGAAGTATATATTCCCACGACACGTTATTGAATGCCTTTTCCACATCAACAAATACCAATGCCAACTGCTTCTCCGGGTGTATTTCATAATATTCTAAGACATTAATGATAGTTCTAAAGTTATGATTTATTTGTCTTTTAGGAAGGAAGCCCGCCTGGTCTTGATGTATAATTTCTGCTAATATTTTTTTAAAATCGCGTTGCCAATAAGTTAGCATATATTTTATAGTCAGCCGAGTGACAAACTAATACAAAAACTATATAGATTCTTTTTAGAAAGATATATGGAGGATGAGGTGGTTAAGCCTTCTATGTTAGCTTGGATGAGGGATATGGGATATATACCATAGAATTTGATGAATGGGATAAAATATGGAAGACAATTAGATATTTGGAATCAGCTGCTTATAAAGAAAACCTATATAAAATGTACCATAGATGGTATTGGACTCCAGATAGAACTGCAAAATGCTCTACAAAAATATCAAAGAACTGCTGGAAATGTAAAAACAGTGTAGGTACGTTTATACATATGTGGTGGAAATGTGGTAATATGCAGAAATTTTGGGAAATGGTTAAGCAATTGATATTAGAGATAATGAATGTGAATCTAAATTTAGTACCGGAAATATACTTATTAAATATTATTCCAGATAACTTTAACCAAAATGATAAATATTTATTAAAATATATCTTATCATCTAGAATCATTGTAGCAAGATATTGGAAAACGGATAAGTTACCCTCTAAGACAGAAATAGCAAAGAAATTGCTGGATATAGCTGAACTAGATAAATTAACAATGTTGTTACGGGGAAAAGAAGAAACCAAATTTCAAAACAAATGGTTAAGAGTGTATAAGTGGTGGGATTTTTTTTTTACTATGTACAAGACCTCCAAAAAATGAATGTAATTGTATAGAAATGTTTGTGGCTGTATAATATAAAACTACATAAATAAAGTATTTAAAAAGCAGTATTGCAGACATATAGTGCTAGACGTACAAATCTGTCTATCAGGAG